GCTGAATTTTAAAAATATTTTGAAATATACAGGGTGTCCAGAAAAAGCGTATCGTATCAATGTTATTTATTTTTAAATGGAATTTTACTGCATTTTTGAAAGCACCGTGAAAAATAAGTGAATTTTATACATACCTGGGACTTATTGTTTGTGAGATATTTCAATTTTAGTGAAACGCGGGCATAGTGTAGAAATTTAATGTTGGCAATAAAAAAATTATTTTAAGGAAGCATCTTTGGAGAGTTTATTTTAAATCCCTGAAGTTACAAATTATTATATTTGTCGTCACTTAGTATTGTACATGTGTCCAAAAAATTGCTGAATACTTCTCTCAACTTTAAACAGCAATAACTTGGTTATTTTAAATAGGACACCCTGTGTATTTTTACTCTGGAAGTTATAAACCGATCAAAATAACTCATTTAGAGAAAAAAAAGGAAATTGTTGAACTCTTATAAATGGAAATGGTAAAGGGGCTTATGATAAACGAAAAAAAAATAAATGCGTGAGCAGGGGCGGCGGAAGGTTGATTTGGGTGGTTGAAAAGTATCCAATACAAAATTTGTAGATCATGCACAAATTTACAACTTTTGTAGAGTTCACTTTTTAACATAACCTTAAAATTTCCGAGAAAAATAATTTAATTTTGACGAAACTTAGTGAAAGTATACCTTTCTCTATCTTAAATAACCTCAAATTTTTTTAGATAAAAAAATCAAGAAGTTTCTGAGATATTAATTTTTTTCGGCCTGAAACTTTTTTTTTCAAAGAAAAATTTACTTAAAAAAATCATCGTACAGAATTCTGCCGGTAATCATTTTTTTCGTTTTGACATATTCTTTTTGGTGAAATTAAAAAATTTGTAATCACAGCTCAAAAACATGCTCAAAAATGCAAAAAAGAAAAAAATGAGTTGCAACAGTGAATTTTTCAGTTATTGTTGATAATTTATTTAAATTAAAAAACATTCAAAAACTGATTATACCATTCAATTCTACGAAAAAAAACTGTCTCATTGACACAAAACTATTTTTATACAGTATTGCTATACACATAAGTCGAACAGTGAATAAATAAAATAAATAATAATTTTTTTCTGTAGGATCGATTAGTGTACTTATTTTTTTTTAAAAGTTTGGTGAATTCATGGATATACAGTGTGTCCAAGGTAAGGATGGGATAGCATTAAAAATAATAAAATATTTCATAAATTCGTATTATTTTTTTATTAGGTACTACTTTTTAAATTATGGATTAAAAAAATTGTTGGATATTTTGTGCTGTATTGATTTTTATTCTCTACTCTCTCTTTCTCTCTCTTCCAATAGATACAAGTATTTTGAAAGCGTTCAGAGCCGTACTCAGGAAAAATTTTTAATTACAGCTAAAAACCTTTTTAAGCAATTACAATAGTAATATCATCCAATACAGAATTAAAAATGGTTAGATTTTGTCATAAAAATAGCAGCGATATATTTAAAAAAATTAATCTGATGATGACCCGTCGAAGACGAAACGTGGGATTGCAAAAATGTTGACGCCATTGGATAGAGAGAAAAAAGTGGCAATGTAAATATGCAATTCATTTAAAATTCGTTTTTAAAAGCCAGAAAAAAAACGATTTTGCAAAATTTCGGGTTTTCAGAATTCGCGTCAACAGTAGACTTTGCAGTTAATACTTTATATTGCTGAAATCTCAAATCATCCTGAGATAATTTATCATTTGTGCATTTATAATTCGACTTAGATGTTTAGCAATACTGTACAAAAATAAAATTTTGGGTCAAACAATGAGACAGTTTTTTTTAATTTTTTTCCGTAGAATTTAATGGTGTAATCAGTTTTTGAATGTTTTTTAATTTAAACAAATTATCAACAATAACTGAAAAATTCATTGTTGCAAGTCATTTTTTATTTTTTTGCATTTTTGAGCATGTTTTTGAAATGTTATTACAGATTTTTTTATTTCACCAAAAAGTATTTGTCAAAACGAAAAAAATGATTACCGGCAGAATTCTGTACGATGAATTTTTTAAGTAGAATTTTTCTTTGAAAAAAAAGTGTTTCAGGCCGAAAAAAATGAATATCTCAGAAACTTCTTGATTTTTTTATCTAAAAAAAATTGAGGTTATTTAAAACAGATAAAGGTATACTTTTATCCAGTTTCGTCAAAATTAAATTATTTTTGCGGAAATGAGAAATAAAAATCGAAAAATCAGAAAAAAACTGTTTTTCGCACTTTTCTCGAAATTTTGAGGTTATGTTAAAAAGTGACTTCTGCAAAAGTTGTAGATTTTTGCATGATCTACAACTTTTGTATTGGATACTTTTTTGTTTGACGTCAACTTTCGCCAGAAATCCCAATGATACAATATTTCATAACTCTTCAACCCCCCAAATCAACCCTCCCCTGCTCACGCATTTATTTTTTTTAGGTATAAGCCCTTTTACCATTTTCATTTATAAAAGTCCAGGTAACAATTTTTTTTTCTCCAAGTGTAATTTAGTTGGACTATTAGGAAATTTAAAACTCTTTCGAACTGTGTTAGATTCCTTACACCAATCTCTAACGGTATTGAAAATATTTGTGCCCTTTCTTTTCTTATCGAATTTTTTATAAAATGTATCCACGTGTCTTTATCGTGGTCTTTATTGAGTTGGTAAAACGTCAATCATGACAATATTCAAGAAAGTCTTCTAATAAAAAATATTATTTTATAAGCAGAATAATTATAAGTTATTAATTTTGTATAAATACGTTTATTGTACGGAACTGAATTAAATTAATTAGGAACAACATGAAAAATATTTATTAAAAGAAATTTTACTTTTAGAAGAAACAAAGAAAAATTTTAATTGATGATTGAATTGATAACCATTCTCTTAAATACAACATCTTATTCTATCTTCAAATGATATTCTCACATTCCTTAGAATATCTGGGGTGATTATGGCAAGTACATCTCTAATCTTTTCCCTTATATCATCGCAAGTAGCGATATAGCCTGAAACAAAGAAGTCCGTTACAATAAGGTCTGGAAACCTAGGTGGCCACTGACATGCACCATTCTTACTTATCCATTAGTTAATAAATTTTTGATTTAAATAATTTTTCACTAAATACGAAAAATTTTAAAGTTAGCCATTTAATTGCATCCTCACTTTTCTCCTTATATTTAAAGAGATGTCATCAAGAAGAACCTAAACCAATTCAATAAAGACCTCGATGAAAACACGTGGATACATCTCACAAAAAAAATTTAAAAAAACGGAACGGCACAAATATCTCTAATACCGTTAAATATAGGTCAGTTCGAAAGAGTTTTAAATTTCCTTACTTCCAAAGTGAAAATATACTGGGTGTTCCATTTAAAATAACCAAGTTATAGCTGTTTAAAGTTGAAAGAAGTATTCAGCAGTTTTTTAAACACTCTGTACAATACTAAGTGACGACAAATATAATAATTTGTAACTTCAGGGATTTAAAATAAATTCTCCAAAGATGCTTCCTTAGGGGGATATAAAAGCTGCTTCCTTAAAATTATTTTTTTATTGCTAACATTAAATTTCTACGTTAAGCCAGCCCTTTCACTAAAATTGAAATATCTCACGAACAATAAGTCCTAGGTATGCAAAACCTTTAATAAAATTCACCTATTTTTTACAGTGCTTTCAAAAATGCAGTAAAATACAAGCTGTTCCATTTAAAAATACATAACTTTGATATGGTACGCTTTTCCTGGACACCCTGTATATTTCAAAATATGTTTAAAATGTACCCGTAATCAACCTACATGTACTCACCTAAACAGGTTTCTATAACATTTGCCGTTTAGTCCCTAGCGACCGAGACGTTACTGGTGGCCCACCCTGTATTATTGCAGACACGAATATGAATTGTTCTTAAAATTTATTAACAAATGATATTTAATACAATTTAATTATTTTTTCTTCTCCTAGGAATTAATTAATATACAAATATTTTTTTATCTATACAGGGTGATTCAGGTTTAATCTGGATAACTTCAGGAATCGATAGAACATGTTAAAATAATGTTCATTCATGATATACACTTATTTCCTTAATTGCATCGTTTCGGAGATAGAGGGCGTTGAAGTAAGAATTTTTTTCTTTTCTTAGCACTAAAAATACTTTTAACGATGATTTTCACAAACGTTAGTTTATACAAATCATTGAGTTTTGTTTTTCATGGGTTGCTATAACGTCAAATGAAATTTACGCGTTGGGGCGCTACACTGTCACGAATTTAATTGAATATCTCAGAAGTAAGGCCAAATATCGAAAAGAAAACCAGAGACGAAAAAGTTTCAACCTTAATGAGACAAAAGTGGTGTACAGCTGTTTTATTGAAGTTAATATATTTTTTTTCATTTTGAAATAATGTAGGGGGGAACTAATATACAAAATACACTTCTAAGTGAGGTAGGGGGGTCAAACTTAAGAAGCTTATGAAAGATCATAAGGAGTGTTTGTGCTCTGAATTTCACCTCAATCAGATGAATGGTTCAAAAGTTATGAGGGAAAAGCTGGAAAAAAAATTACTTCAACGCCCTCTATCTCCGAAACGATACGATTTAGGAAATAAGTTTATATAATGAATGAACATTATTTTAACCTGTTCTATCGATTCCAGAAGTTATCCAGATTACATCTGAATCACCCATTATAGATAATTTATATAAAAATTTTAAAAAGCAGATAAAAGATCCTCTGTAAATTAAATATTATTATTAAAAACAACAGATCGATGACTCAACATGTGTCATATAGAAATAAATAATACTAAAATTTTATGATTTATAACAACTCATAGAACATTCTTAAAATTTTTTCTTTGTAAATAATCAAAGTTAAAAATTAAATAAATATAAATTTATGTTTGGGCATTGGTTTATAAAACAAAATAAAATTGTACAGTTGTTTGTGATAAAATAATCATTCTTTGTCACTCTAATTAAATATAAACATTTTATGATAGCTTTTCCTGTGAACACGAGGAAAAGATCATTTTCAGATGATTCTGATGATTCTGACAATGATGTGGCCGAAATAATAACCGTAAAAGCTATAGTGCATAATACAACCTATGACAAAAACAACGACGGCCACGAGAAAATGCCTGTTAACGTTAATTTAAATCAATCAACTCGGGCCGCTGAAACGCAATCAGAAGTTTGGGATTTAATTCAAGTTGGTAAATATTGTATCAAATCATTTTGCCTATCAATATATTCTCAATTTTTTTTTATTTTCCAGACAATATAGAAATATTGAACGAGGACGATAGCGAAATGCTTCTTGCGTTCACACATTCTCAGATGGAAGCTATTGAGGCAACACTTGCCAACATCGAACAAAATGTTCCTGAAAATGCTGGCCAACCCAATCGTGCAACAACTAGGGAGGAAATTCAGCTGGAAATAAACAGACTACGGAACGTAGGTAACCACATACCTACATACCTCATGGCGAGCGAACGTGTCTTAAGACGTGGAGTTTCGTACTTGGGTCCTCTCAATAGGGTGTGCGAATACTGTTATGCTCTCTATTTTCCAGCAGAAATGACAGTGCGTAACTATTATTCAAAATGTTGTCAAAAAGCTCTACCCAATTTACTTAAACAGCTTTTCCAAGGTACCCATCCTCTATCCAATCATTTTAAAAGGTTTGTACTTTTATATAACTATGCCTTTCAATTTGTGTCCTTGGAAGCTAATTTAAGAGATTTACCCTTAGGTCGAGCACCGCCAGTGTATGTTATTCAAGGTAAAGTGTACCATCATATATCCGATGTAAATGTTAACCAGCCGATACAACGCTTTGGACCTATCTACTTTCTTGACCCAGAAGTAGCCGTAAATCAAAGATGTTAATAATAACGGTATTTTAAACGAGTTAATTGTTCAATTAGAGCGATTGCTTAGATATATTAATCCCTACGCAAGAGCTTATATGCACTTATGTAACCGTTATAATTTTGAGTTGCAGACTATCGACAGACTTCGAGCAGAGGCGATTAGAAATAATATAGGGCCGCTGCCTCTGGAAATGCCCACAGTCACTTTAGAACTATTAAGTGTTCGCGGAGCTAATAGACGTCAGTATGACTTTCCAGTGGTGGAAGAAGTTGCCGCCATTTATAATATATTACCAGACACTCCAGCAACACCAAATATGCGTATATACGTACGTGATCAACCGGGCAGATTTCAAAACATCACCGAACAAAACGAACTGCTTGATCCCCTGGTATTTCCCCTTTTGTTTCCTCGCGGTGAACCCGGTTGGCACATAGGCATCCCTTATAGGAATAATGCACGCAATGTAACTCTCTGCGAATACTCTGCCTATCGCTTAGCCATCAGGGACAACGAACAACGATTCCACTATGGGGGCAGATTAACTCAACAATTTGCTGTAGCTTCCTACATTAAAATAGAAAATAACCGCCTAAAATATATATTAGCCAATCAAGAACGGCTAAGAGCGGCTGAATATGTAGGACTGGCAGATTACCTTCACCGCACAATACAAAATAATGACGAGGAAAACGAAGGCGCGACACTAGGAAGGATGATCATTTTGCCTTCTACTTTTGTCGGCTCTCCTCGGCACCAACAACAATTATTTCAAGATGCCATGGCAGTAGTAGGTCGCTATGGTACACCCAGTATATTCCTCACCATGACCACAAGTACTCATTGGAGGGAAATTATAGACAATATTCCCGGAGGTCATTCAGCCAACGACCATCCCTCTCTAATAGACAGAGTATTTCAGGGCAAAGTAGACGAACTCATGGAAGACATGCTTAAATCCCAAGTGTTTGGTATACCGATAGCCAATCTCTATGTCATTGAATTCCAAAAGAGAGGGTTACCTCACTGTCATAACTTACTGATCCTAAGAAATGAGGACAGATTGACAGATATTTTAAAAATAGACGCCATGATTAGTGCAGAAATACCCGATCCACAAACAGAACCTGAGCTATTCCAAATAGTAACTTCCTGCATGGTGCATGGACCATGTGGTGAATTAAACCCTCAGTCAGTCTGTATGGTCAATGGAGAATGCTCCAAAAATATCCTAAATCATTTTTTGTAAAAACTACGGTATCACAAAGAGGGCAAATTGAATACAAAAGACCGAATAATGGTAGAACTATTACGGTAAGAGCTAATAACAGAAATTGTGTTTTAGACAACCGTTGGATCGTACCGTACAACCCATACGCCCTACTAAAATACAACTGCCATATCAACGTAGAGGCATGCGCCAGCGTGCACAGTGTTAAATATCTATACAAGTACTTTTTCAAAGGAGCAGACATGGCACTCCTAAGAGTCAACATAGATAATACAAACGAGTACAATGAAGTAGAAAACTTCCTCAATGGCAGATATATGAGTCCAACGGAAGCCTGTTGGCACATTAATAAATTTCCCATGCACAAACATTCTCATACCGTATATCGACTATGCGTACACCTACCAGAAAGACAAATGGTTAGATTCCAACCAGGATTAGAAATACAAGCCATGCAACGCAATGAAGTCACGCAATTAACAGCTTGGTTTATACTTAACCAAAATGATGCCGAAGCTCGGCAATATCGATATATAGATATTCCTTACCATTATACATGGGAAACACGCACCAAACGTTGGAAACGTAGACAGAGAGGTGCGGATAAAATCGTGGTACGAATGTACTCAGTAAGCGTAAGGAACCAAGAACTGTACTACCTACGTTTATTATTGTTACATGTTCAGGGATCACGTTCCTACGAGGACTTACGCACAGTAAACAATGTACTTTACGGTACTTTCAGAGAAGCTTGCCAAAACCGCAACTTACTAGCCGACGACACAGAATGGAAAAGAGCCCTAAGAGAAGCTTGCGCAAGAGATATGCCTCAACAACTGAGAAATATGTTTGCCTTCATGCTAATCTTTTGCGAAATTTCGGATACGCGAGCGCTTTGGGAAGAATTCAAAGCCCATTTTATGGAAGATTTTCAGCGCCGCGGCCTATCCGACGAGGAAGGGCTTCAAAGAACTTTACGATCCATTCAAACCGTTTTACTGTTGAACGGAACAAGGCTAGCACTCTACGGTTTACCAGAACCGGAAGAGATAAGAATAGAAGTCGATCCCATTAACGTAGAAACGGAACGACTAGAAGGTCAAGAAATGTACGACAATCTTAACCAAGAACAAAGAATCGTATGCGAAGCGATAATGACTGCCATTCATGATCCCACCGAGTCCCGTCGACTTTTCTTAGTCGATGCTCCAGCCGGATCAGGCAAGTCGTACCTATTTCAAACTATTATCACAAAACTACGCGGTGAAGGGTTGCCCGTTCTGGTAACCTCTCCAACCGGCATCGCCGCATCGCTACTAAAAGGAGGTCGTACTCTTCACTCCACATTCAAATTACCTTTCGACATTAACGAAACGACAACAAGCGGCGTAACTCCACGTTCAGCGGAAGGTCGCTACCTAGCAACGGCTCCCCTCCTAATAATAGACGAAATATCGATGGTTACAAACCTTACATTCAATATTATCGAACGAGCCTTAAGAGATATCTGCAACGATAATAGGCCTTTCGGTAACAAAGTAGTGTTATTAGGAGGAGACTTTAGACAAACACTGCCAGTCGTTGTCGGAGGAAATAGATGTACCATTGTAAACGCCTGCATAAAAAGCAGTCGACATTGGCCTCAGTTTTTAAACTATATATTACGTACCAATATAAGGGCCGAAGAAAATGAAGAGTTCTCCAGATGGCTCCTAGACTTAGGCAATGGGATCTTAGAGCCACTGAGACGAACACCATATGGTAACATAATACAAATTCCCCATGAATGCTATGTCAACCGAATAGAGGACATTATAGAGTTTTGCTTTGACGACGTAGATCCTACGGTAGCTACCCTGAAGGCAATTTTAGTACCTACTAACAATTCCAGTCATAGCATTAACCAAACAATTTTAAATAAATTACCGGGGGAAAGTAAAACTTACTTCAGCGCTGACAACGTCGATATCACTGACGATCCAGCAGCCGAAGTAGCCAATTACACAGTAGAATTTCTAAATTCCCTTACCCCTAACGGAATGCCACCGCATAAATTAGTCCTAAAAGAAGGTGCTATAGTAATGCTTCTACGCAATCTAAATCTTAAAAAAGGACTGTGCAATGGTACGAGACTTATTGTGCGAGTACTAGGAGATCAGTACCTAGATGTAGAAAAAATAAACAGTGTAGGCAGGCCTACTGGCGAAAGGGTATTCATTCCTCGAATTGATTTAAAGACAGCGGTTGACGTTCTACCTTTTAAACTTAAAAGACGACAATTTCCGCTTCGTCTGGCCTACGCTATGACTATTCACAAATCACAAGGGCAAACATTCCAAAAAGTAGGGATATATCTGGATGAACCTGTCTTCTCGCACGGACAGCTGTATGTCGCTTTCTCTAGGGTTAGAGATCTACAAGATATTCAGATATATATAAAGGAATCCTCGCAACAAGGTAAACTCTTACCAAATAGCGAAAATGTATATACAAGAAATATTGTATACAGAGAGGTCCTATGAAATCTTTTATTTCACACCTCATCTATGAGACCTCTCTCTAAATTTTGTATAGTAGTTTGAGAGAAATTTTTCATAAAGATCAGTCACTGAACTTTTTCCCTATTTGATAATCTCATCTACTACTCTAAATATGTTTTTAGTATTTCCTTCAGCTTAGCGAAGGTCAGCCTTTTCCATCTGACATTTTGGTACATATGTTGTCATAAATTAAAATTCTCGCCTTCAACAAAGTCCAGACAGATATTATGATTACAAAATGCTAACTACGTGTAACATTTTTGCAAATACGTCAATATAATATTTCATTTTTAGTAGACAAACTTTTCCGATTATAATTATTCTGTTACAAGAATTATTTATTTTCCTTATATTTATATTGATCATGAGCACACGCTAATTTGGCATTGTGCAATCAGTTGTGCTTTAAATATAATAAAACATGTTTTGATCTTTGAATAGGGAAAATGTTTTGCTACTTATAGCAAGTGTATAATCGGAAATAAAAAAATATATATTTCAATAAGTCTACTTTTCAATTTTCTTTATTTTTTATGGAAAAATAATATTGACGATTCAACTACATCGTGCAAATACCATAATATCTTTTTTCTAATTTTCATATACGAGAATTTTTTCTGTCAAATGGAAAAAAGCAATACTTCCTTCTAATTTTTGGCACTTGGTATCGGATATCAGGCAAACGATATACCATTTTAAATATAACTGCCCTTACATGCTTTCGAGCAATTCTTAATATACCTTGCCTTATATAGAAGGATATATTATTCCAAATTTCATTTCCAAACGTTACATTTCATCTTACTTTCAAATCATTTAATGTGTTTGTTGTTATTTTTTTCAACACTAAATCTAAAATCATGTATTAAAACATTAATAATTTATTTTCAATGTCAATCTCATATAGGGAAATAATAACAATGTATTTTATTAAATTATGCAAATATCACAATTTCGTAATTGCTACTTTTATCATTTTTTTATACTCTCTATTGATTTGAAAAACCCGATGCTTCCTTCGTAACATAATTGGCAGTTTTATCAGATATGGAGCAAATACTATGCCACCACTTTAGGCAAAACTGTCTCCAAATGCCTCGAGCAATTTCTGATTAATATACTTTGCCTTTTTTACAAGGATAGATTTTTCGGAATTTCGTTTCAATGAGATATAATTTAATATAACAACTTACCTAGCCTCAAAATCATTAATTTAATATTTAATGTTGTTATTATTTTTTATCCCATCATCAAATTCAAAATCATGTATCAAAAACATTTATAACCTGTAGAAACTTTTCCATTTTTCTCCTTCAAAAATTATTCAAGTAAATTTTCTATTCCAATATTTAACAACTTCTGTGATATAATATATATATTGTTTCCAACACTAAATCTAAAATCATGATCAAAACCTTAACAATTTATTTTCCATGTCAGTCTCATAGAAATAATAACAACGTATTTTATTAAATTTTGCAAATATCACAATTTCGTAGTTGCTACTTTTATCATTTTTTATACTCTCTTTTGATTCGAAAAACCCGATGCTTCCTTCGTAACATAATTGGCAGTTTTATCAGATATGGAGCAAATATTATGCCATCACTTTAGGCAAAACTGTCTCCAAATGCCTCGAGCAATTTCTGATTAATATACTTTGCCTTTTTTACAAGGATAGATTTTTCGGAATTTCGTTTCAGTGAGATATAATTTAATACAATAACTTGCCTCGCCACAAAATCATTAATTTAATATTTAATGTTGTTATTATTTTTTTCCCATCTTCAAATTCAAAAACATTTATAACCTGTAAAAACTTTTCCATTTTTCTCCTTCAAAAATTATTCAAGCAAATTTTCTATCTCAATATTTAATAACTTTTATGATATAAAATATATAATATAAACTCTCACTAATATTTTCAATCTGGTAATAATTAATTATGCAATATCCCAAAATAAAAAAAATGTATTTAAAATATTAATACATGTTTTAAATATGGTTTATATTCTTTTAAAATCTACATTTTAGACACATATTATGTATTTTCTATCTATACTACTACTTTTTTCAAAATTTACAAATTATTAAATTTATAATTATATTTCAACAAACACATGTGTACATTGTAATTACGTTTTATTGTTACAACGATTTAATACGTCAAATAATTCAACCACCATTTTCTACTCCGGAACCTATTGGATGCGCGCAGACTTTTATAAGAAGAGTATAGCACGGTTTTGATAATATCGTAAGTTACTGCATTCATATTTTATTACGTTTAAACTGATATGAATCGAAACCAAATTATTTTCGTCTTTAATAATAATTGAAAAATATGTATTTAATTTTTTTGATAGCAAGTCAACCCCAGAGAACCTAGCCCGAGAACAACAAGGGCAGGACAAAAGTTCCTAACTACGGCTAAGGAAATGCAATGAATGTCTAAAAACTTAAGGTACAAACCAAAAATATTTTTTCCTTAAATTTAATATTTTTATGAAAAAAAAAAACATTAATTGCCAATACTTTCAAATTCGTAAATTACAAAAACTTCATTTCATCTACATTTATTTTAACTTTAAATGCAAAAAGTTATTACCTTAATCTAAAAACAAGTCTGTCTAAAAATTCTAAATTTAAAAAACTATTGGCAAATTATCATAACAATAATTAAACGAAACCTATAAATTATTCCATGAAAATTCTATATAATATAAATTACATATGTAACACATATATTCATTTTTCTATAAAGTAGGTATTTCATCACTTTTTATTTGTGCCCAAATATCAATTATTTGAAATATAATTTTTTTCTATTCATTTGAATATTTTATCGCAAAATTTTTATTTTAAAATAAATAAAATTAATATTTACATAGCTCACTGCCACAAATCCTTTATAGATATCACTGAATATACCGTCAACGAAGAAGAACCAATTATTTGAAAAGGCTGGATACCACCAGTTACAAAGGCCATTACGAAATACTTGACATCATCATCATTGAAGAGCAGTTGCATTTATAACGATCTTAAAGCCAACAACAAAAATGGAAATGAACATCATGACAAACCTAGAGTTTTAATAGCAAGTCCGCCTCCACAGAGCCTAGCCCGAAAACAACAAGGGCAGGTCAATGGTTCCTAGCTACAGCTAAGGAAGTGCAATGTAAATCTGTAACTGGTGGCCGTCAAATACATAAATTGAAGCATAACAACCTGAAACACCAACGTACTAACACAATTATCAATTAAGTATTTCATTTTTTTCTATTCATTTGAATATTCTGTCGCGAAATTTTTATTTTAAAATAAAATTAATATTTACATAGCTCAGAGCAACAAATCCTTTAGACATCACTGAATATGCCATCAACGAAGAAGAACCAATCATTGGGAAGGCTGGATACCACCAGTTACAAAGGTCATTACGAAATACTTGACATCATCATCATTGAAGAGCAGTTGCATTTATAACGATGTTAAAGCCAACAACAAAAATGGAAATGAACATCACGACAAACCTAGAGTTTTAATAGCAAGTCCACCTCCACAGAGCCTAGCCCGAAAACAACAAGGGCAGATCAATGGTTCCTAGCTACAGCTAAGGAAGTGCAATGTAAATCTGTAACTGGTAGCCGTCAAATACATAAATTGAAGCATAATCTGAAAAACCAAGGTACAAACACAATTATCAATTAAGTATTTGACATTTTTTTTCCTATTCATTTGAATATTTTGTCGCGAAATTTTTATTTTAAAATAAAATTAATATTTACATAGCTCAGAGAAACAAATCCTTTGTAGACATCACTGAATATGCCGTCAATGAGGAAGAACCAATCATTTGAAAAGGCTGAATACCACCAGTTCCAAAGGCCATTACGGAATACCTGAGATCACCACTGTTTAAAGAGCAGTTCCATTTATAACGATCTTAGAGCCAACAACCAGAATGCAATTAAACATCACGGCAAACCTAGAGTTTTAATAACAAATCCGCCTCCACAGAGCCTAGCCCGAAAACAACAAGGGCAGGTCAATGGTTCCTAGCTACAGCTAAGGAAGTGCAATGTAAATCTGTAACTGGTGGCCGTCAAATACATAAATTGAAGCATAACAACCTGAAAAACCAAGGTACAAACACAATTATCAATTAAGTATTTGACATTTTTTTTTCCTATTCATTTGAATATTTTGTCGCGAAATTATTATTTTAAAATAAAATAAATATTTACATAGCTCAGAGAAACAAATCCTTTGTAGACATCACTGAATATGCTGTCAATGAAGAAGAACCAATCATTTGAAAAGGCTGGATACCACCAGTTACAAAGGCCATTACGGAATACCTGAGATCATCACTATTTACAGTTCCATTTATAACAATCTTAACACCCACAACAAGAACCGAAATGAACATCATGGCAAACCGTTTAATAGCAAGTCCGCCTCCACAGAGCTTAGCCCGAAAACAACAAGGCAGATCAATGGTTCCTAGCTACAGCTAAGGAAGTGCAATGTAAATCTGTAACTGGTGGCCGTCAAATACATAAATTGAAGCATAACAACCTAAAAAACCATTTAATTAATCTTAACAGCAAAAAATTTTTTTCCACAAATAACATTATATTCAAACAAATATTCNTCAATGGTTCCTAGCTACAGCTAAGGAAGTGCAATGTAAATCTGTAACTGGTGGCCGTCAAATACATAAATTGAAGCATAACAACCTAAAAAACCATTTAATTAATCTTAACAGCAAAAAATTTTTTTCCACAAATAACATTATATTCAAACAAATATTCATTTATTCTTATATCAAATTTTATATATAGTAGATTGAAAACCGTTAAGTTTTGTATAATATTCCATCTAAAAAATTATACTGGACACTTTTAAATACTATAAACTCCTCCTTTTATTTTCTCTTATATTAAAAAAACTTAAATATAAATTTCTCAGTTATCCCTTACAGATACTTAATAAAAATTATTACTTTTTAAAATTACATTAAAAAAACAAAATAAATAATCAAATAATAGTTGCTTGCAACTTTAATATAATTCAATGAATCAATTTTAAATTTAATACAATTATTTTAGACGAGAAACATATGCTCTTTCT